TAGTATAAAGGTCATTAAAAAACATAAAATGAATCGACAATTTTTATTTATAAACACATTTTATTCATCCGTATGTATATCATTAATAAATGCTGATATAATAATGACAATGAAATAATGTATAGCGCTGAGCGTAAAACGAGCAGTCGTATTTTATAATTTTTTTTCTTTTTTTTTTTTTTTTTTTTGTTTTTTATATGTAATTGTCATGAATATTATTTTTGTTTCAATATACAAGATTTTGTTTTGCTGTATGATTTGTATTTTGACTGGATATTCGTTGAGAAGCTGCTTTTAAGATTACAGTAAAACGAGTTTGTCTGTATAATAAGTCTGTCCCTCGAACAAAAATCGGTAGAAAACGGAAAAATTTGCAGATTTAAATGGCTTCGCGACAATAAGCGTTTAGATTGTAAGCGCAAGTCAGAGAATAGACTAAGACTCTCGAATTGCAAGCACGAGTTAACTCTTAACACATACGACTTATTCAGCAAAGCAACAGTATATCAACAGCGTTATCAGCATTATAGCAAATCCGGACCAATTAGTCCACAAGGATTAGGCATGTATTCCGTTAAAATTCCTATCCATGATTACTACTCGAACCGTCACTAGCAGTGCTTGAAGAGAGTTTATTATTTTCTGCAACTTTCTGACTCAATGAGAATTTGCGCTTGCAAATTGTTCCGCCAGCTTTGTCACCAATTCCAACTAACATTGCTAATAATGTCGAGCAGCTTGTTTTACTTCCTTACCAGGACCAGAAAGATGTGCCGGTAATTCGACGAAGAGGGTAATTTTAATAGAAGAGCTTTAGAACTCCGAATCTTTCAACGCGTCATGTTTCCAAGATGTCAGATATGTCGTCGAAAGAAGCAATTCTACACAATCGCGAGATACCATACTCCCGAATGCTATTATTATTATGATTTTAATAGTGTGTTGGGCGTCAAGATATCATTAAATCGGTAGCTTGTACAGCAAAAACAAGTAGCTGAAATTATTGATTCTATTGCCGGCTGTTATCGCGAGTCCTTAGTATCCGCTTTGTCTGTTATTAACATTGTCAATGAGATTATTAATTAGGAATAGATGGAACGTCCCGATACAGCGACATCAAAAGGCCTGGAGCGGCTGTTTCCTTTATCAGAATACTTAGAATTAATTGCGCTAACCTTGCGCTCACTGACTTTCTGTTTGGTATGCAAAATTTAGCGACCAGGGTGGAACTCCCTCCCCCCATCGCCCCATCCTAACAAGGGATTTGGGGATGGTGATATCGGTGGCTATAATATGTTATAGACATTTTCTTTATTGAACTTGATTTCATTTTGGCATTTCTCAAATGCTATGGTATATAATAATTTCCAGCTTTGGAGGGCAAATCATGTAATTGGGATTTCATTATGGTTTAAGCTTCTTAGATACGTGTGTCCGTTTGCATGATTTTGAAAATCAAATATGTAACTTATAGTCAATTCCTCAGCTATTTTTATTTGATAATCAATTAATCGAGCGATAATTTAACAGAAAAATAAAATACGCCGCTTATCATCAGACGTCATCATTTTGCTTATTCCATACGTGAAAGACACTTTGTAAAGTATAGATATTTTTCATTAATTATAGGATTTATCGTATTGCTTTTAACGTACGAATCGTTCATTTCTTTATATATTTTCTTTTTACTTCTTCACGATCAATTTATTTCAAAACGTATAATTATTAAACTCGAATTTACCATCCAATCGCTAAAGAGAGTAGTCATTTTTTTTTTTTTTTTTTTTTTTTTTTTTTAATTTGTTTTACGACATACATTGAGCTTTTATATTAAAAATTAATAGTGCTGATTGCATGAACTTTGAATTTCATGGCTTCATATATATATATATATATATATGCATTATTTATAATAATGTATAATTATCTTGTGTTTCTTGTTCTTCGGTGAATATGTGAGAAATGGTTGTTATTTACTTTTATTTCATTTATTGTTTATTATTAATAATCGCGTTTTAATTGAATACATCTTACAAATGCGTGTAGCTTTCACTTTTTATTTTTATTTTTATTTATTAATTTTTTTATTGATAATCTTCGTATCTCATAATTTCATCGCGTGTTTATGGGCTGCATTCGCCTGTACATAATGCACATACAAACATACAATATGACGTATTTCTATAATATACAAATAAATGTAATAATAATTATAATTAATATTTCGTCGACGTCGCACGTATGACCGACGACGCTTGTCAGATTCGTGTAAAAAAAAAAGAAGAAAAAAAAAGGAAAAAAATAAGAAAAAGAAAAAGACGTAAAAAAAGGACTATAAAGATACAAAAGACGGGAATGAATTTGTTTCGTATATTTTTTTATACTTTTCTTTTTTATACTTCTTATTCGGCTACGAGAATGAATAATGGCTTCGAGCCGTGTTGCCTGTGTATAATATGTTTTTATTTGTGAGGGGGTGTATCGCTTGTACACGCGTTTGTGTCCGTGTCCGTGTCCGTGTGTGTATATATATGTATTTGCGTTTACATTTATAATAATGAGTTAAGCGCCAATGCAATGTGAACAACGAGCATCGTCGATTTGATAATTAAAATTAAAATCCAACGCCGCTGTGTTCGTTCGATTTCGCCTCTCATGTGTAACACAATTGTTTTCCTTTTTTGTTACCGACCAAATGCAACGTTCCCACGTGTCCTGGGAGAAAACGAGAATTTTTATCGTCCCTTTCTCATGGGAAAAATGGACGAGCTTTTCATTTCATTCGGATGATGAAGAAAAAGAAAGGGTTAAACGAGACGAAATCGAGCGCCCCCGTACGATGTGGCGTTAAGGCGATGTAAAAGTTTCCCGCAGAAACGATTGAGTGACGTCCTGTGATTTTCTTATCCTGAATATCATCATGCTTATATATTTTTTTAAGTAATTATAATACATTAAAAATTTTCATCATTCGAGCTACGAAGCAAACATTTCATTGAAATGATATTTCAAGTATAAGTGCTGCTTATCGCTAATTTAATAAAAACAATTACTCGATTCATTTAAAACGTTAGTATGGATTATTCGCCACTTTTAAATTTGCAGATTCATTTCAGTTACTTTCTTAACTTAAGAAATTAATCGAAATTCCGCACAAATCTAGCAAGCATAAATATAGCAGAATCGTCGGTAAAGTAAATATAAAAAATTGTGTACACTTTATAAAATCGATAGAAAGTTAGTCTTTACATTTCGCAGTATCACACAATAATGAAATATCCACTTGAATTCGATAAGGTGCAAGTATGCAACGAGACTCAGTCGTGCGCACCTGGAAACTTTTTCACCCCCTCATTCTACAACACAATAGAATATTTAATATTTTCCTCTGTCACTCTCTTTTTCCATAAAATTTCTTAAACTCTTCTCTTCTATCAAACGAACGAAGTGTTTCATCTTCATTCTTTATTATAACTATAAACTAACATCTGACAAAATCCTCCGATGCAATGTCGATTCCTTTATCTTCGTATAATCTTCAATCATCACAGTGTAGCCTGCTAACTCTACTCAATTCAGAATTTTCCTAATAATATTCCTAGCAATATCTAGCGTGTTTACGTATGCATGAGTGAGCATGTATATACGTTGTGTGAACGCGGGCGCGCGCGCAAGCTTATATGAATTTTTGTAGACCCAGTGGTTGGGTGTGTAAGAGCGTGTGCGTGCGTGTGCGTGTGAACTGTGTGTCCGATGGGTTGTAGGTGTATACGTTATGCGCGTTCGCCGTTTATAATTCGCTGCGTCGCAGACGTGCGAAGTATCATCGTTTTCCTTCTCTTTTATCTCCACTTCCATCTTCATTTATTACGTATTACGCTCCTGCCTGCCTAATTATATTGAGTTAGAGCTAATGGACTAGCAAGGCTAATCTGCGACATTTTTCTTTGCATTTTTCATTATACCTATTCGCTGCTGTTATTGGCTTCGCTCTATTCGCGATTGACAAGATCGTGACACATCGACGAGAGAGGAGGTTAAAAATTTCTTTAAATTTAAAAGTGTTGCGTGTTTTTGTTCTATTAATGAAAATTAGACGCACCGGAGGTCGAAAAATCGTAAAAATGGTTATTCGCTTTGATGTAAAAAGTCTTATTATAATTTTTCTCTTGTAAATATTTTTTGCTCACTCGTTTTGTACAAAAAAACGTGGTCATACAAGTTCTCGTATATAAAAAGATTATTCATCGTCTGGTAACTTCGCATTTCAAAAAATCGGTACCCCTTCTTTTCTTTCTTTTTATTATTATTCTTTAGAAAAAATTGTACATGCGCACGTCAATAATGTAATAATGCATTTTGGAAAAATCTCTATATACCTTAGACATTGTTAATTGCGAATTTCCATCCTCGTTTTGTCCACAAACGACAGGCTATTGCATTCGATAATATTGCAGTATACATACTATGGCTTACTAATGACTTATTTAAAAAAGAGAGGAAATAAAATCGAATACGCCAGAGGGAGAGACCCGGAAATTAATTGTAGATAAATCCTTCGCGAGAGAAAATACTGCTGCAAACATGATAGTTTGTTATACAATACACATACATAATATATATACGTGATAATATAAAAAAGAATTGCAATGCATAGAATTAAACAAATATAGAAACTTATAATGATGATGATGATAATAGTAATTATATTAATAAGGATAAAAAAAAAATATTAAAAAAAAATCAAATAAAATAAAATGATGATAATAAAACACAAAGTGGGAGAAGAGGCTGGAAGGAAAGGTTCTAAACAGTGGCAAGCACGTTTCCTTCCCCCTTCGATAATAATAATAATAATAATAATAATAATAATAATAATAAAAAAGAAAAAACACGAATGTTTTTCGCTCCTCGTTCTTAAGATTAATTAGAGAGCTTCAAGTATAAAAAGAGTCCAACGTGTACACTAATCATTTTCGCTCTCTCTCTCCCCCCCTCCCCTCATAACGTCGGCCTCTCGCATCATTCACAATAATAATTCTGTCTCATTGAAATCTCTCTCTCCTCCGATTCGCAAACATCAATCAGAAATCTCAGGTTGTCCCCGCCGCTGAAGGTTGAGGCCTCGCGTTGTGCGCTCGCTGTCCTCCCGCGACCCTCCTCCTTATTTCCCCTTCTTCTCCTTCTCCTTGTTCTCGTCCGACTCCTTGTCCTTCTCAACGTCCTTTTCCTCCTTGTCGGCCTTCTCCTTGTCTCCCTCCTTCTCCTCCTTCGACTCCTTGGTCTCCTTCGCCTCCTCCTTGCCCTCCTTCTCCTCGGTTTTCTCCGGCTTCGGTAGGTGGGTGTTCATGTCGAGAGTCGAGCAAATCTCGTCCCAATCCGGGAAGCAGCGCTCCTTCATGCGCGAGCAATGGCCAACGAGATTCGGGCAGTTCTCCTGCATGTAGTCTCGGAGCGCGAAGGATATCTCCTTGTCGATGTACAGGATCTGGGCGAGATTCGCGAACGCGACGACGTCCAGCTGCGAAACAAATTTAGAAATTATTAATACGTGGCCGACCATTTCAGGAGACATTGACGTCCGGGGCGATACTTACGGCGGTGGGCTCGTCCCCGAAGAAGAACGGCTTATCGGCGAGCATGTCACTGAGAACCTTGAGGTCGTCGCAGCCGAACTGAAGGACCTCCTCAGCCGTGTGTACGCCCATGCCCTGAGCCTTGACCTTCCGCGCGCCCTGCAACCAATCCAACTATTTCTCACTACAAATGACCAAAACGCCTCATTCTCGAATTGCCAAAGATATTTTATGCACCAGTTCAACCTGTTATCCTCCATCTTTGTCGCTCGCACAACGCCCATCATTCTTATTTTTCTGTTTTTTTTTTTTTTTTTGTCAATTTACGCCCTCACCCCTCATTCCCTCATCACTTCATTCTCTTTACTCCCACCTAATCGCTATATTTATTTATTTTCATTTTTATTTTTATTATTCTTTTTTTCTCTTTCATCCCTAAGGGACATCTCGAAGCTATCGAACGTCTCATGCTACACTCAGGGAGCCGGGAATTTTTTCGAAGTTTTACGTAACGACGTGTGCGTGCACTGAGAAATTAACGTGTTGATACGTTTTCTTGAATTTTATCACATAGAATCATTTTATCTAATCAAACTTGATTCTCAAGAGCATTTTTCAATGGGAGATTGTTTATCGGCTGTCAAATACAATCGACGCACACATACTATATCAACACATTTTTTTCACCTACGTTAAGCTTATCAATACAATGACAATCATAATGAAGAAAATAAAAAAATTTAAAAAAGTCAAGCGAGTGCCGAATACACACGAACTTATCTATTTTATCGACATTTAAATTTTCCGGCCAAATTCTCACATAAAGCGACAAATGCTAATAACGTAGGCATACTTTAATAAATATTATTCAAAGCAGAGTTTATCATCATAAGAACGCAAATGTTATATGTATAGATGAAGAATTTTTTCAAGTGAAGTGCAATCTAATAGGCTTTATTGTTTATTGCATCTTAGAATTTAATGTTTGTTATATTAATTTTTAATAATAAACAATTTAGTGTTGTAATGTTTATCGTTATTACGGAAATTACCGTTCTCTTTTAATGTAAGGTAAAAGACTCCAATATTTATTTTATATTCATATTCTTTACCTTTGCTCCTATCCCATTCAGTGATATTTATAACAAACTCTTTATACCTAATAATGGGCGTGTAACCCAGTTTTCCGAATGTTTTCTAAACAATTAATATTAGCGAGAATGTTACACACGAGCTTAATTTATTAAGCAAATATATTATGAGCAATTGAAAGTTCTTTAAAGCTATTTATTAGAATAAATTTTTTAACGATTCAATTAGAATGCCGATAAAGAAAAGTCACTATTAATATCCGGCAGACCTTCGACTGACAAAAAGAAAGAAAAATAAAAACACTCGGGAAACGATAGTCCACCAGTTGTCGTTATCTTGTAACTGTGTAACGAGAGGGTAAATGCCCAATCTCTTTTATTAAATACCGACAGCTCGTTCGTTAAGAGTGGACTCTGGCTCCGATTAAATAGAACAACAATATCATTTATTTGGAGTTGTAAAATTCAATACCAGTTCATAGAAAGTGTTTATAGAACGTCGATGAAAGGTGGCTGAACGTTTGAGTTCGCTTGTATTAACGAACTACAACACAGCCAACCCTTCATGTAGACTGTCGAACATCGGAACCACGTTTACCCGAGTGCATGAGAAGGATGACGAAGACGACAAATAAAGTGGATGGTGTGTTTGTGTGCACTTGTGGGTATTAAGGCAAAGGGCTTGGGTGGACGAGCTCAGGGTACCGCGAGCTCACCTTGCGCCCGTATGTGAACTTGAAGAAGAAGTTGAGGATGCCGTTGGGAATCCTTGTACCGAGCGCGTGCTGGAGGTTGACCTTGTAGCCCTTGAGCATTTGGTCGAGGTTCTTTGTGCGCCAACAGGCCACGACCCACATAAGGTTGTTCTCGATCATTGATATCGTCGCGTGAGAGACGCTGCGCTGGTCAGTGCTCAGGACCGCGTCGATGTCCTTGTCATACTTTTGGCCAAGCTCGCGCATTATGATCTTGCTGTGCTCGATCTCGTCGCCATTGAGCTCAATGAACGGAAGCTGGCCCTTCTTCGAGCGGAACTTCATCTTGTGGTCAACATTCTGTAATGATAAATCGTATAATTATTAACTTGACATGGTTAGTCAGGATTAGGGATGTACGTAATCATGATTTGTACGACCGGTGCTTTTCACCCAAATATTTTTCATTTCAAATACAACTAAGCGCTAATATATGCCAATAATTCGTACGAAGTTAATTCACAAGACGACGATAAATTCTCATTCGTTTATTTATTCATAATTCATTTTGATTTATTATAAGCGATCCAGCTATTCATTAACATTTTCTAATGGCTCGGATTTAATTGTACTTATAATAATCCAACATTCTTGCTTAACGTTTCGCTCTCGTATTGATAATCCAACGATTATATTATGTATATTACTAACGGATATTTGTGCTATTTTTAATTAACATTTTCACCCATGAAAATTCTTGATGAAAAATAATTCTCTTAGGCATTGTCGATATTGATTTGGATAACTCGTGGTCCAGGATTTTCTAATAATCCAATAATTTTTTAATTTTCCCGTAAATAGCGATTTTGAAATCGCCAAGTATAATATAGAGCATTAAGTAAAAATGTCCCAGCATAAGGAGTACGTGTATTAAATTTCCCTCGAATTTAATTACATTTGCAAGTCACGTTCTATATACTTTCTCAGAATTCCAGTCTCATTTATCGGTACGGTGCAGCATTGGTTAATAATCGTGCAGGATTCTCTCTCTCTCTCTCTCTCTCTCTCTCTCTCTCTCTCTCTCTCTCTCGCCAGCCTGTCGAGTCTCCATCTTCGTCTTTCATCTCTCGCGAAAAGGCTCGCAGCAAAGAAGGAAAGAGTCGCTGGATGAATAATGGCCAACGTGCTCCGAACAATGGCGGACACGGCCAAAGAACCAAGTGTCCGTAAATCTTGGTTTGCGTGAAACAATAACTGCAAGCTGCTGCGAATTTCGCGGTAGGCTTGATTCCTGAAATGCTTTTTCTGCTCGCTGGCATTTTCTTCGAGGCCCAAGGCCACATATGGGCTGTGACTCCCTTACACGTGTTTATCGGCGCGCCCTTTTTGCCCTTCGCTGCCGGCCACTCCCAGAAATAGACTTGAGAAAATAAAATTCAGAGAAGGCACACGAGATAGAGAAAGCCAGAATGGCAAGAGCCGAGAAGGAGGGAGATAGAGGGGGAGAGTGAGTGAGTGAGTGTGAGAGAGAGAGAGAGAGAGAGAGAGAGAGAGAGAGAGGCAGTTTGTAAGATCCGAGTGCACATGTACAGCGGAGCTCATCGCTGTGACAAAGAGGAACAAATAGTAAACCTCGTATGTCCAACGTTAACTGATAGGCTGTCTTATTGTGTGCCATCGAAAATGTATTATGAAAAGAAAAAGAAAAAAAAGAAAGAAAGAAAAAATCTCTTATTCTGGATACATTAATATTCATCGCAAGCACGGGAAATACGATCAAAATGTATTTTGCTTTTCTTACATGTAACGTACATGTTAAGTAAGGAAGAAAACATCTTTTACAACGAGTAGTTACTTGTAAATTATGTATTATATTAATGCATTAAGAATTAAATTATCATTAAGAGCTCTCCTTTCGTCATTCGAAAGAATAAAGAGAGGAAATGCGTCACATAAGGCTCACAAATCACATTCCCAGTACTTAATTATAGGAGAAACGCCTCGCATATGTGAGGGAATTTTGAAGGAAGCAAGCAGCAACAGTCCCACGGCCCCGCATAATATTTGTACCAATTTCACTATACCAGAGCGAAAAATATTCTCATCTGCACTGATTCCCTAGAATTTCCCCGGAACTTTAGCTTAGCCGCTCAGCGTGAAGCTAACGCCGTTAAGGGCGCCGATATCCGGTTTTATGCCCTCGAGCGAAAATTAAAATACCGGAGAAGTAGAATGCATTCATCGTTGGGTAAATGCTTTCCTTCGAAATTATTATTGTGGCATTAAAACTGGATAATCAAAGATTAAAAGCCCATTTGATCTTACAATCTTGTATTTAATTTGTAAATGTATTGCTGCAATGGTGGATTTAGCTTTCGTTGTTATTTCGATTACAAAATGAGAATCGATTCACCACTCTCTATTATTCAATTATTGACATCTACGTTGTTCGATGAATTTATACATTTAAATAAAGATTAAAAAAAAAAAAACCAAAAAACAAGTCGACCATTATTTATTTTGAAAAATGAGGCATTTTGCTATTTATGCTATAATCCATACTTAATAAAGACTATAACAGGAATTTTCTCAACCGAACGACTATGCTATAATTCTTTACTCTCTTTAATCTTCTTTCAAATTTTTTAGTTACTTTTTCAACTTACTGCCAGTTTTTCGAGCGAAAATAAATTTTAAAATAAAAATTCACCTCACTAATACCTGGCGATGAATTTATCAGAGTCGAGAATAAATGATTTCATTAGTTTATGATTTTTGCGACTATTTTTATTATTTCTTTTTATTTATTACTAGTTGGGAATATGTACCGAGTAGTTTTCATGGAATGTACAATTATACTTAAAGAGCGTTAAAGCAGCGCCACAGTTAAGCTGTGATATGGAAGCTCTAGTTATTAATCATTCTTTATGTTGAAATATTGCCAATTAATTATTAATCTAAAATTCTACATTTATTTCGTATTTTCATTATCGACGGCTGAATTTCGGAATCTATTTAAACTTTAGATTAAAAACCTTTTTGTTCAAACGATAAGAGAGTATGAATAAAAATTGAAAAACTCCTTAACGTAGTCCGACTGTAATGATGATAAATACTTAATATAACGTTGAAGACATCAATACTTTAGTATCGTGAATTAACGATAATATATATCAATAGTGTGGCCTTATCATTTCTTGTTATTTTTATTTTGATTATTTTTTTTTTTTTTTTTTTTTTCGTTGAAATTCAAAGTCGCAATGGTTGTTTTTCCTTGTAGGAATATTGTTCTGTTACATGTTTTGCTGCAAGTTTCGTTTGAAACACGAAGAGGAGCTACGCAAGTACGTCGAAAGTATATTAAACTCATGCTCGACGGGAAGAAAGTAAAAAAGCTAAGTATATATACGCGTCTACAAACCACAATGCACTTTTTCTTCTCGTTTTATTTGGGGGAGCGCGCGTATAACCGGAAAAAGTAGCGGAGACGAAACAGCAGCGGCCGAAGATAAGAAGATGAAAGATAATATGGGAAGGGAAGGGAAGGGAAGGTGAA